ATATAAGTTTAACATAACAGCAAATGAACATCGTTTCGACAAGGTTTTGTCATCATCGAAACGTTGTACATTTGCTGTTATATTAAAGTTTTTCTTCATTACCCATTCAAGCCGTCTCCAGCCATTATTAGTCTCAAAGTAGGTTCCTCGTCATCGAACCTCTTAATGTTACTTTATTAATAGTCGAAGTCCAAAATTAGAGGTTTTCGTCTGATAAGAAGGAATACGTGAATCCTGGCAGAGGACGTAATATACCAGACACTCATAATGAACCAGAAAAGTAAACCGTGTTTCCAGCAAAAGAATTTCTTCTAGCTGAAGCGTCCATTTAGAGTAATTTAAATTTGTATGGATTTCATCAGCTCGAACCCAGATCACCTTAAACGCCAATCTTGAGTTTTATTTGTGCGGTATTTGGTGTATTACATCTGAACAGCACCTTATACAAAATATGGGTTAAAGGGCTAGTAGGTCAGAGGCCCAAGGTTCAGGGACAGACATCCCTAATTCAGAACTTATGACCAGAGGGAAGGCAACTGTTCAGCAGCACCTGCCGTCTACTAACTGAGTTCAAAGATTCAACCACTAGCTATTACTAATACATTTATCAACTCTGTCTATCACATGTTGCATTCAGCCAGGGAGTCTAATGGAGAGGTTTTAAGTAGGGCATATAAACGTATCATTTGATGCTAGGCATTTGATGATACAAACGTATCATTTGATGCTAGGCATTTGATGATACAAACGTATCATTTGATGCTAGGCATTTGATGATATAAACGTATCATTTGATGCTAGGCATTTGATGATACAATCGTATCATTTGATGCTAGGCATTTGATGATACAAACGTATCATTTGATGCTAGGCATTTGATGATACAAACGTATGCTAGGTATTCTTTTATAAATGATGATAATAAAGATGTTCATGATGTTAGAAAAACGCGTAGGTTCAAGAAGTCTTGATAGAAATGAACAAAACATGATGTTAGAAAAACGAGTAGGTTCAAGAAGACTTGATAGAAATGAACAAAACATGATGTTAGAAAAACGCGTAATTTGAAGAAGTCTTGATAGAAATGAACAAAACATGAAGTTAGAAAAACGCGTAGGTTCAAGAAGTCTTGATAGAAATGAACAAAAAACCCTATAACCCGAGCGCTTTCCAAAGGTGGACCTTTCTTCTTCAAGGGCAAACTGTTTGAAGTTAAACAAAAAGCTACAGAATGGGCTAACTGTTCTCTGCCCACCACGGGTATCGAAACCCGGTTTCTAGCGTTGTAAGTCTGCAGACATACCGCTGTGCCACTGGGGGGCCCTGGTATATAACTTGGTTCTTTATATATATATATTTCAAATCTTGGACGTTTTCCTACATGTAAAATAATTTGACCAGGTGTCACTACTTTTTTTTTTTCAACAAAGCAAAACTCGAAGCTAATGAAAATTTATTAGTTTTTTACACACACAAATTCCATATACACACACACACACATTTGTTTTGTTTTCTTATCAATGTATATTCCATTTGGCCTGATGAGTTTTGGTATTGAGTTTAGTCGTTAACCTATTATTACATTCTTCTTTACTTTCATCCATAACATATTATAATTATATAAACAAATCCACGCTACAGAAGGATCTGGGCCTACACTATCAGATAACATGAATGCTAAGTCTGTGCCCGCCAGACCATCCTTTAACTTCAACTTTCCCATTAACTCCTAAACTCTAAAGTCATTCTCTATTTTAATTCAGATCGCATTTATGCTCCTAGCGGCTGTAAGATTTGTTTGTTTTTAATTATGCACAAAGCTACACAAGGGCTATCTGTGCTCTGCCCACCACGGGTATCGAAACCCGGTTTCTAGCGTTGTAAGTCCGCAGACATACCGCTGTGCCACTGTAAGAAGTATAAGCCATTGAAAATTATAAGTTTTTTTTACATTACTGTCAGTGCTCCAGACGTCAAACTAGCGACGTTCTTTTGATTGAAACAATATCTATGTACGTGTTCACTTACTTGTTTACAGCTTACTTTCACAAGAACAATAACATTGTACCATTTGTTGACGGTTCGTTTTTCTTAATCTGAAATATAAGTGGAATCCCAGATTTTAATGTGATCTAACATCTAAGAATGACCAGCCGTGATCAGAAAAATAAAAATAACGGTATTTTAACAGCAGCCTAGATTTGAATAAAAGTCCGGACGGCATTGTATCTCCATCTTTATAACTTGGCTGATTTAATTATTTTGTTAGTTTGTTGTTAAAACTAAGCTACACGATGGGTTTTTCAGTGTTTTGCCCACCGCTGGAGTTACTACTGTGACTCTAGATCAAAGAAATGGTTTCATACGAGTTCAGTCACGTGACTCAACTAGCACCTTCGGCACTATTTACAGTGATGTAGGACTAAAACACAAAGTTCGTGTTTCAAGGTTTTTACACCTACATTAAACAACTTACTGACATTTTTTGTTTGTTTTTGTTATCAATCTTAACATTTTCAGTGGTAAACTTCTGCAGCGACACTATATTGTTCCAGTTCGAATATTTAGGCCTAGTCAATATATTTGTATTGATGATAACTAAAAAACAGCACGTGCACCATAAACATATGTAAATGTTTCTGCTTTTCGAATAACAACAAGTGAAAGTCACTTGCAGTTTGGCGAAGAGAGTAACATGGCTGTTTACCGATTGTTTAAAATATAGGCTTAGATTAATATACTTCGCCCTTAGCATAGTCTCGTTTTCTGCTTTACCGAATTCTTTGTCGATACTATGGATTAGGACCAACTTATGTGGCCGAAAAATGCTTGAACTGTCCTTGAACTTAGGATTAGAGTGTTTCTTTAAACAAAGGAGATGCTTTTTTATTCTTCAAACTAAGCCTATATTAAACAATCAGCAAAAAAAAGCTACTGAACTTTTACTCCTAATTTATTTAAACTTTCACACTCAACTGTGTAGTTTAGGTTTCTAACTATACAGCTAACTTTCACACTCAACTGTGTAGTTTAAGTTTCTAACTATGCAGCTAACTTTCACACTCAACTGTATTGTTTAAGATTCTAACTATACAGCTAACTTTCACACACAACTGTGTAGTTTAAGTTTCTAACTATGCAGCTAATTTTCACACTCAACTGTGTAGTTTAAGCTTCTAACTATACTGCTAACTTTCACACACAACTGTGTAGTTTAAGTTTGTAACTATACTGCTAACTTTCACACTCAACTGTGTTGTTTAGGTTTCTAACTATACAGCTAACTTTCACACTCAACTGTGTAGTTTAAGTTTCTAACTATACTGCTAACTTTCACACTCAACTGTGTAGTTTAAGTTTCTAACTATACAGCTAACTTTCACACACAACTGTGTAGTTTAAGTTTCTAACTATACAGCTAACTTTCACACTCAACTGTGTTGTTTAAGATTCTAAGTATACAGCTAACTTTCACACACAACTGTGTAGTTTAAGTTTCTAACTATACAGCTAACTTTCACACACAACTGTGTAGTTTAAGTTTCTAACTATACAGCTAACTTTCACACTCAACTGTGTAGTTTAAGTTTCTAACTATACTGCTAACTTTCACACTCAACTGTGTAGTTTAAGTTTGTAACTATACTGCTAACTTTCACACTCAACTGTGTAGTTTAAGTTTCTAACTATACAGCTAACTTTGACACTCAACTGTGTAGTTTAAGTTTCTAACTATACAGCTAACTTTCACACTCAACTGTGTAGTTTAAGTTCTAACTATACAGCTAACTTTCACACCCAACTGTGTAGTTTAAGTTTTAACTATACAGCTAACATTAAAGCCTGTTAAACTATACCTAGGTTTTCCCTCTGTCGGCCAGTACTTGCAAAACAGTTGTTGACCCGTGCAACTCTGAATGTAATAAGAATCGGCGACTTCGTTTGACAACTCTTCGTTACTTGACATTTCTACCTGCAGAAGATTGAGACGACGTTGTCGTTTGATAAACAGTATCTAACACACTGTTGGTTTTGTATTACAGCGCGTTTATCCCTAAGGTTTACTTCCAGCACGTGACCATGACATAACGCCATGCATAGCAAAGTAGTTTGTTTTTGATAAGGCTGGAGGAAAACAATGTAAATACTTTTCTTTTTTTATATCCAAACTGCCTAGAATTAAACTTAAAAACGAAATTTCTGGGGTAAACAACGAAAACAAGAACAATTTTTTTTTTCAAAATTTCTATCGTCACATCTACGTCGAAACAGATTTTTTGAGTGATATTTAAACTTGGGTTGCGACGCACGTACATATCGTCTGTTCACAGCTCGGAATGTGTACATGGTGACCTAATTTTACGTATTCTTTCATTTTTCATTCGTGTTTCATTATCTAAGATGGCTTTAACTTGTAGTTTCAGGTGTTGAGCTGGCTTTAACTTGTAGTTTCAGGTGTTGAGCTGGCTTTAATTTGTGGTTTCAGGTGTTGAGCTGGCTTTAACTTGTGGTTTCAGGTGTTGAGCTGGCTTTAATTTGTGGTTTCAGGTGTTGAGCTGGCTTTAACTTGTAGTTTCAGGTGTTGAGCTGGCTTTAATTTGTGGTTTCAGGTGTTGAGCTGGCTTTGATTTGTGGTTTCAGGTGTTGAGCTGGCTTTAACTTGTAGTTTCAGTTGTTGAGCTGGCTTTAATTTGTGGTTTCAGGTGTTGAGCTGGCTTTAACTTGTAGTTTCAGGTGTTGAGCTGGCTTTGATTCCTAGTTCTTAATTTAATCAATAATTTTAACAGTGTTAAAAGTTTAACAAAATCAAATTAAGCCAAGAAATGATTTTGTGTTTTTGTTAGTCACAATAAGCCCTTCGGGGGATCAACAATGGGTTTAACTATATAACAATATAGACATATCTATGGCAGTAAGGAGAGAAAATGAACAATATAGACATATCTATGGCAGTAAGGAAAGAAAATGAACAATATAGACACATCTATGGCAGTAAGGAGAGAAAATAAACAGCATAGACATGTCTATGGCAGTAAGGAAAGAAAATGAACAATATAGACATATCTATGGCAGTAAAGAAAGAAAATGAACAATATAGACATGTCTATGGCAGTAAGGAGAGAAAATGAACAATATAGGCATGTCTATGGCAGTAAAGAAAGAAAATGAACAATATAGACATATCTATGGCAGTAAGGAGAGAAAATGAACAATATAGACATGTCTATGGCAGTAAGGAGAGAAAAGGGTTTTCTTTCCTTACTGCCATAGACATGTCTATATTGTTCATTTTCTTTCCTTACTGCCATAGATATGTCTATATTGTTTTAACAATATAGACATGTCTATGGCAGTAAATGTCTTGTTCACTACTGAAGAGAGAGAAGTATCCGAGAGATATCTGTGATCGGAGATTAAACCCTTCACAGATAGTCTCCTCCTATAAATACCTCAACTACCCCACAGTATACCCCCAACTACCCCACAGTATATAGTGTCAATTTAATTCCCCACAGGATGATAAAGAGAAACAGAAACTGCTTTGTAAGATTATCAAGATTTACTTGACTGATTTTTTTCTCTCTTGGAGACAGGTAACAAAGAGAGAGATGAAATAGGAAAAGATAATTATTAGAATAAAGTTACAAATATGATAACCCTCTCATGTTTTTCAACATATAATGAAACATCTCCAGCAAAAATGTACTTGTCCTTTTTTAGTTTTTTAAACGTTTTATGTAATTGTGTCATGTGGTGTTTATACAGGAGCTTCTTTTTTAGTTTTTAAAACGTTTTGTGTAATTGTGTCATGTGGTGTTTATACAGGAGCTTCTTTTTTAGTTTTTAAAATGTTTTATGTAATTGTGTCATGTGGTGTTTATACAGGAGCTTCTTTTTTAGTTTTTTAAAAGATTTGTGTCATGTGGTGTTTATCTATTTAAGAACTATTTGTGTTCGTACCTATATGTGTGACAGTTAATGCCAGAAGAACCCGGATGAAACATTTGTTTTTAGTTATTAGTTATGTTTTAAGTTACTCCAGCGTTTTATATGGACATTTATTGTTGGGAAAATACAGAAAAACATTTTATTCTGTGAGTAAAAGAAATGAGAAACATGAAAAGTTGGCTGTGAGCAAATTAATGAGGCATGAAAATCTTAACAGTCATAAGCTGGTGACCATAGGTCATAGGTCAAAACAAAATACACCATTTCGATTTTCGATACCTCACTACTATAAAGGCTTGGTTTGGTCTGAAATTTCATGAGGTGGTAGTGTCCAGGGTTACTGATGAGGAGTGGAATTCTTCAAAACTGGTCCGGTCCACAGACACACTCCCAATGAAAGAATAGACCATTCCAAGCTTTTACTTGTTGTTATACAAATGTTTAAACAACTCTATTCAATTATGTACTACAGCTGCCTACTGTCGGGTAACAATACGAAGAATTAAATTGTGGCGGAATGCTACAAGTTCTTCAAATATCTATAGAATGATAGGTTTCTTTTTTTGTGAGTGTAAAACACTTAAATACACCATTTCAAAAATACTAAAGAGTTTATAATGAACAGGACCAAATTCAAGTTTGACCTTGGCCCAGCGATGATAATAGCCACTACTTGATGCGATCTTTGCCTAAAAAACAGTTCTTTGAGTAAGGATTATGACCACAATCTCTATTTTTTTTACATCATATGGATGATCTAGATCACATAACACTGGGATAAAAACTGGAGTAAAATTATTGTTGACCGGACTGTAGTCCAATCCATCCTGGAAGTCTACAGCAAGAAGATAACTGATCCAGAACAATTGAAAAAAATCCCAGCTCTTTCCCAAGTAGCATCATATTTAAAAAATTAAAGGATTTTTGTGGGTTGAAATGTATAGAACTAAATCCTAACTCTATAACATTGGAAAATAAATTCATTAACATTGTAAATAATGTAAGCATAAATAACTGTTTTATATTAAGTTAGTATCTGAAGCCTCTGTCTCAATTACTCATTACAACATGGATATCTTCCAGTTGGTGAACTGTGTAAGAACGCCACTGACTGCATATCCGAGTATTTTAAAATATATTTACTACTTGTAACATGGTAATTGTCTTTTGAAAGCAACCATTACAGCATATAAAATATTACGTTTTAACTCAGTAGAACAAAGCTTGTAAGAATAACATTTTTTTTTAACTCAGTAGAACAAAGCATGTAAGAACACTGTGTTTCAGCTCAGTAGTACAGAGCATGTAACACTACTGTGTTCTAACAGACTGTAGAACAGAGCATGTAACACTACTGTGTTCTAACAGTCAGTAGAACAGAGCATGTAACACTACTGTGTTCTAACAGTCAGTAGAACAAAGCATGTAACACTACTGTGTTCTAACAGTCTGTAGAACAGAGCATGTAACACTACCGTGTTCTAACAGACTGTAGAACAGAGCATGTAACACTACTGTGTTCTAACAGTCAGTAGAACAGAGCATGTAACACTACTGTGTTCTAACAGACTGTAGAACAGAGCATGTAACACTACTGTGTTCTAACAGACTGTAGAACAGAGCATGTAACACTACTGTGTTCTAACAGTCTAGTAGAACAGAGCATGTAACACTACCGTGTTCTAACAGTCAGTAGAACAGAGCATGTAACACTACTGTGTTCTAACAGTCAGTAGAACAGAGCATGTAACACTACTGTGTTCTAACTGTCTGTAGAACAGAGCATGTAACACTACCGTGTTCTAACAGTCTGTAGAACAGACATGCATACTCTAATTTAGCAGCATTTATTTTGTTTGCTTCACGAGGATGATGTATGCATTATTCTAAGTTCTGCTGAACTGAATATACTACAAGAACGGAAATATAGTGAAACTATAGAAGCACACAAGCAGTTTGTCAGAAGTATCCATGCTAAGCTCGACATTGAATCTCACTTGGTTTGGTGTATTCTAGTTAGCGTTACAACACAATTATTCTGCAGATGTCAACAAACAACTGAAAGAAAAATTAAGACTTTTATATGATAATTTTATTTTAATAAAACCTCATTTTTAAAAACTTCAAGTGTGTGTAGAATCATAGTGGTTATTGTAGATATCTAACGAATAAGTAACAAGTGAACTATCGTGTTAAATAAAATAGTTTTTGTTAAATTTTGGGAACATTTTTTTCCAGAGCTAGCTGTCTCTAATTTTGAAGTGATACACTAGATGAGAGGCAGCTAGTCAAAACCGCCTACCGCCAACATTTGGAATACTCTTGTTAGTTTGATTTGATTTGAATTTCTCGCAAAGTTACACGAAGGCTATCTGTGATAGCCATCCATAATTTAGCAGTGAAAGGCTAGAGGGTCATCACTGCCCAACGCCAACTCTTGAGCTACTCTTTTACCAACGAATAGTGCGATTGGCCGTCACATTATAACGCCCCCACGGCTGAAAGGGCGAGCATGTTTGTTGGGACGAGGATTCGAACCCGCAACCCTCAGATTGCGAGTCAAGCGCCCTAACCACCTGTCCATCCCGGGCTTTACTCTTGTCACACTGAACAGTAGAATTTGACCGTTACACTTATAAGTACAACGCCTAAGTGTTAAGTACGATGTTATTATAATAACGGGAGGACAAAAAGACCTAGTATGGCGTACTGGATAGAGTGCTCGCCAAACATGCTCGTCTTATCAGCAGTGGGACCGTTATAACGTGATGATCAATCCCACAATTCACTGGTAAAAGAGTAGCCGGCCCGGTATGGCCAGGTGGTTAAGGCACTCGACTCGCAAGCTGAGGGTCGCGGGTTCGAATCCCTGTCACACCAAACATGCTCGCCCTTTCAGCCGTGGGGGCGTTATAATGTGACGGTCAATCCCACTATTTGTTGGTAAAAGAGTAGCCAGAGCGTTGACAATCTGCCTTCCCTATAGCCTTCCACTACCTGGAAGGGCGATGGGCGCCACCTGGTAAATTCTGCCCGAGAATCACCGATGATGCGTAAGCAGCCTCGGGACAAAACAAAGACAAAAACGGTGCACAAACCATAGAACTCCAGATCCACAGCGAGGCACGCTGACAAGATAATAAAAGCTACGATATTAACGTGTTATCAAATAGTATTACAATTAAAACACCAAACAAATGAGACATCTTGAATGATTATACTAAGTAAGTATTAATTAATTCACCTTTTATTATAAAATTTACAGTCAAAAAGAAAATTTACAAGATTTCATGATCACTATTCTATCAAATACACTTAAATATCTGAAGACGAAAAAACAAAAATTAAATCCTAACTCGAATCTTGATTTAATGCCCGATCATTGATTAATGTAAAAGATAATAATAATTTACTTTTTATTAAAAATATTTAAAATTAATCTTATAAAAAAAAAGATTAAATAACATTTTCAGAAGTGCCGCCATCTAGCGTGTTAGTTTGGAACCACGGAAAAATGTGTAACATATATTATTTTTTAAAATGTTCATGTATTTCAAAAGACGAGTTTCGTCCAGTCCTCATACTCCTGTCGATTATTATCGAAGTCAATTAAGAAAAATGAATGCTAGCATACATGCGTTGGAAGACAACTAGGCCTAGGTCTATATAAAATGCAATACATGACTAATAACATGCGGAAATTCATCAAATCCGACAGCTTTCGGTCTTTCTAATTTATTTATCTTGTACTAAAGATTAAGTTTATTGTACTATTACACACATAATCCTATTTAAAAAAACTAAACACTTTATACTGCCAAAAATAAAAAATACAAACACTGATGTTACGAAAAAGTTAGATTCTTGCTTGTAATGATCTTTACATCTTAAAATTAACACTTTTCTCTACAACATTTGAATATAAACAATTCTTCCGAGAAAGGTCCGAGAATTTATTAACAAGTTTAATAACTGATAATACATCAGGTTCTTGAATTAACACAGCTCTAAATAAACCTAGCTGGCACCGAAATTACATTATGAATTTTAGTCATTAAGGCACCGAAATTACATTATGAATTTTAGTCATTAAGGCACCGAAATTACATTATGAATTTTAGTCATTAAGGCACTGAAATTACATTATGAATTTTAGTCATTAAGGCACTGAAATTACATTATGAATTTTAGTCATTAAGGCACTGAAATTACATTATGAATTTTAGCCATTAAGGCACTGGAATTACATCATGAATTTTAGTCATTAAGGCACCGAAATTACTTTATGAATTTTAGTCATTAAGGCACTGAAATTACATTATAAATTTTAGTCATTAAGGCACTGAAGACTATTTTATGGCCAATCCCAGGCAAACACTGCCATATATTCTATATATTTTGTTTTAATTGTAAATAAATGTCTTATTTCTCTGTAAAATTTATTAGAAATTACAGAATTAAATACACAACTGGGTGAAATTCCCGATATATAACAAGACCACGTTTTCCCCCACTTTTTGTTTTTCAGGTAAACAGCATGAAATAATAACAAACTGCCAGAATCGTGGCTCTAAAAATACGGTACTTAACCCCTTTAAGGTCGTCTATAAGATTGTCGGATATGTACCTAGTCTAACAATTACATAAAACCTTTCATCACGAGTGGCACGTGCCTTTTCTTATTATACAACATCTAAAACATGCCGTGATGTTTTACGAACATTTACTGGATAAACTTCCTTTAACCTACTATCAGAAATAAAACTTTTAATGGATTCATCACCTCCGAAAATCACCAGAAAGTGGAGTTTAAAAAAGATGGCGTTACTTCGATACATGTATTGTATGGATGGAGAGAAAAATGAAATGCTAGCTTTTGTATTATTGCTCTTTAAGAATAAAAAATACTTTCGACTGAGATATGATTGGTGTCTTAAAAGCACAATAATATATCAAACAACATTGTTATGCATTGTTAAACAGATAGAAAAACACTAATATATCAAACAACATTGTTATGTATTGTTAAACAGTTGAAAAACACTAATATATCAAACAACATCGTTATGTATTGTTAAACAGAGAGAAAATGTGAGCTTCCAGTGTTATAAATAACTAACAGTTGAAAAACATTAATATATCAAACAACATTGTTATGTATTGTTAAACAGAGAGAAAATACGAGCTTCCAGTGTTATGAATAACTAACAGTTGAAAAACACTAATATATCAAACAACATTGTTATGCATTGTTAAACAGTCAGAGAGAAAATGTGAGCTTCCAGTGTTATAAATAACTAACAGTTGAAAAACACTAATATATCAAATAGCATTGTTATGCATTGTTAAACAGTCAGAGAGAAAATGTGAGCTTCCAGTGTTATAAATAACTAACAGTTGAAAAACACTAATATATCAAATAGCATCGTTATGCATTGTTAAACAGTCAGAGAGAAAATGTGAGCTTCCAGTGTTATAAATAACTAACAGTTGAAAAACACTAATATATCAAATAGCATCGTTATGCATTGTTAAACAGTCAGAGAGAAAATACGAGTTTCCAGTGTTATGAATAACATGCGAGTTTCCAGTGTTATAAATAACATGCGAGTTTCCAGTGTTATAAATAACATGCGAGTTTCCAGTGTTATAAATAACATGCGAGTTTCCAGTGTTATAAATAACATGA